GAGAGGGCTCCAAGAGTGGCGCAATATGGCTCCAAGAGGGACTGCTCAGGATCGTATTGTATGTCGGGTGTGTGAATAGGTAAATGTATGTTTTGGTCCTCCTGATTTCGGAGCCGTCGCGCCCAACGGAGTCTTCATTCGAGGTGGTGAATTGCATGTCGCAACACGTGGCCCACAAGCACGCCGGCGACTTCGGTTGAGCGGGGACCCGCGCCGCAAGCGCGATGAGAAAACAAAGAATTGCAGTGGGTCAGCCCCGCCCCAGCCCCAGGATCGGTGGATACACCTTCCTCCTGCTCCTCCTCCTCCTTCCCACCCCCCCATCGCAGATCATGTCTATGCGTGTCTCCAAACTTGGTCTGAAGTTCACTTGGGGCCAATGCCCCAACAGCATCATACGGCCCGGGAAGGGTTCGAGAGGGCATCCGGAGTTCCGTGGGAGCCGTCGGGGGCCCTCTTGGGCCGTCTCGGAGCCCTCTTGGGCCTCGGTTGGAGCCATCGTACGTCCCTCTTAGGGGTTCCCTCGAGAGGAGAGAGCTCGCGCTGTCAGAACGTCGGCTTTGACAGCGCGAGCCTCCGCCCTCTTCGGACCCTCCGGGAGCCCTCTGGGAGCCATCTTGAAGTCCTCTTGGGTCCCAACAGTTATGAAGGCGAGCTCCTGTCGCAGGCCTGCTGGGGGAGATCGCACCCCCCCAGCAGCGCCAATCACAGTCCTCATCAGTCCTCCAGATGGAGGCAGAGTTCAGCGGGCAAGGCCCTCCCACTGCGGACACGCGCCCCCGTTGCCGCCCGATTCTATCATATCAGGCCCTCCTTCCCCGTCCTCCTTTTCTTCTTCCTCCTCCTCCCCTTGCTTCCCCCACGTCGCACCTCCCCTCCCCGTGCCGCTGCTCCCGCCTCCTCTCCCTTTTCCCTTCCCTCCCTTCCTCCCGGCTCTCTTGCTTCTCCCCTCTACCGCCGTGGCCCGCCTGGAAGCCGGGGAGTTCCACCGCGATCCGGGGCGTGGAAGGCCTCCGGGACCCTGCGCCGCCCCGCGCGCCCCTCGCGGCGCGAGCCGCTCCCACGGAGGGAGGGAGGGTAGGAGGGAAGGCAGAGGGCAAAGGAGGGAGCGGGGAGCAGTAGCAGAGGGAAGGAGGGGCGAGGAGGGAGGAAGGGAAGGAAGAAAGGCTCCTCGACTCCCTTCCTCTCCCCCTCCCTCTCTCGTTCTTCGGTTCCTCACTTTCCTGCCCGTGTCTGTGTCCCTTGCCTGGCCCGCTTTTCTTTGTCGGCCCGTCCCTTGGTCCGAATAAGAATCGCGGTGGCTCGCGCTGCCACGCAGGCGAATAGCCCGGAGTGGGACATCCCTGTAAGCCCTCGGCGCTCCAACGATTGCGCAACAACACCTGTCGCAACAGCAACGGAAGCGGCAGCAACGGAAATATAATTCCCAAATTGTCCTTATGAAATGATCGCGTGATTGACCCTACGGCCGTAAAATGGCGTCTTCGAAGAAATAGCCCGGATATGATTCCAAAACGACCCCATTGCGACCCGACGGCCCCAAGAGAATACCGAGACGAAACCATGGCATTCCGTCTGAACGGAAACTACCGCGTGAACCCGGTTTGAACTTGACGTGGCCCCACAACGACCGCATGACCCCGAGACGACCTCGAGATTGCCCCAAAAGGACCTCGCGAAGCCTATATAGTAGACCCGCAGATTGCCCCAATATGGCTCCGATGTGACTCTGATGCGTTTCCCTTTTCTGCCCTTCCTCTAGGTCTGGGCCGATAGGACGGATAGGGGTGCTGGCTGGCTCCGTTCCCTCGTCCTCCTCGTCCTACTCCTCTTCGTAGCCGTCGTCGTCGTCGTCGTCGTCGACACCGTCCGCCTGCCCTCCCCCCGGGCCCCGTACATGGCGGAATTCCATACCCCCGGCACAAGCCGAATCCATGTTTTTCGTGTACTGCGCATATATATATATATATATAAGAGAGAGAGAGAGAGAGAGAGAGAAAGAGAGAAAGAGAGAAAGAAAGAAAGAGAAACAAAAAAAGAAACAGAAAGAGACAGCGGGAGAGAGAGGGGAAGGAGGACAAGGAAACGATACACGTACACATGCATATAGCATGTATGTTGATCCGTATACAGGTACACATGTATACATACACATTCTCAAAAATAAATATTCGGGGGGATAATGAAACAAAAAAACCTATATACATATACAGAAACATAGATAGATGAGAGGGGGGGAAAGAGAGAGAGAGAGAGAGAAAACAAAAAAAGAGAAAGAGAGAGAGAGAGCCGTGGACATACGGAGAAATCTGGATATTGAGACAAAGAGAATATAGAGCGGGGCTTGGGACACTGAGCTGGGTGCGCGCAAAGAACCAAGGCGAAGTAGAGCGAAGCGGAGAGAGACAGAGAGACCCAATGGGTGGCAAAGAGAGCGAGAATGAGAGAGAAAGAGAGACAGAGAAAAAGAAACGCCTATATACACACATACATACATATGTGTAGATGTACTCTACACATAAAAGTGGAAAAGGAACCCTGGCCGCCCCTGTTGCTTTGAAGGGGGGCGAGCGGTCTGTCAAATCACATGCTCATTGAGTTCCCCAGAGAGATCCTCAGCGAGAACCTCAAGGCCAGCGTTTGCTTTTCATTGGGCGTTGTGGCCGCGAACCGGAGAACAAAACGACCAAACAAACAGCACAAAAAACAAAGCACACCACAAAACAAAAACAACAACATCATTGGGGAGATGCCGGGGGAACTACTTCAGGGCTGGTTTCAAAGATTTGTGTGTCCTTATGCTGTTGGTTCCGAACTTAAAAACGAAGCAAGCTCAATGCTTGTTAGGCTTGTAGCTGAAGAATCACATTTATATTTCTTTATATATACACTTGGTTCCGAACTGAAAGCGAAGCAAGGTTCGTTTCGGTTCCGAACTAACTATATGTGTATATATACACATACATATGTATATATATATATGTATATATATATATATACACTATATATATTCATCAAGACAACCCAATCACAAAAAAAAGACACCGACAAATCCCTGGGGAGGTTTTGAGAATACTTCTCCGAAGTGTAACTGCGTTTTAATGTATTGGTTCTCTGGTGTTCCGTCGGTGTTTTCTAATATGCGTATACGCATAAGAAGAAAGTTGTGCGTGCCGACCCGATGAAAATAGTTCCGAGGGGTATATCTGTATATATAAATATAAAAATAATTAGAAATCATAGAACAAGAGAAGGAAACTGGGAAACCAAAGAACCAAAAACCAAAACCATGAAAGGTTTTGGGACTCCTCCAGGGTTTGGTTGTTTTGTTTTTGGTTGATTTTCCTTTGGTTTTTGTTGATTCCGAGGTGGCTACAAACATCACACACAAAAAAACGCGTTTTGTTGGGTTCCGGCTTGTTGTCCTCCAGGGTTCGGTGTGTTGTTGTTTTGTTTTCCTTGTTTTGTTTGGGGGGCTTCGGGTTTGGAAAAACACAACTCATGACAAAACAAACAAACAGTAGCTGAGGATCTGTCACGGACGTGTCGCGAGGAGCCTAGCGGAACAAACCCCAAAGAGCCACCCCCAGGCCGTTGCCCTTGATCTGTAGCGGCGTTTCTCAGAAAATTTGTACTCCAGTCCGCGGCGCTAGCGCCTTTTGTTTTAACATTCGCGTGGGATCTCGCCACGGCAAGTGCCCGCAATTCCCGGGCGACCAACTTCGCCCGACTCTTTTCGGTAACCGAAGATCGTGGCATTATCTTTGAAGAAGCTATTATCGTGAGCACAAAAGACACGAGGCGCGATCCGCCGCTGCCTCGGCAGGTCGCGAAAATCTTGCCCGAGAAGATACACCCGACCCGGCGAGGTTGAGAAACCTCCCCCGCTGAAGGCGCAATGGGGCTTTCTCAGCCCGTGGATTTCGCGCACCCGCGCGCGGGCCCGCGCCCGCATGCTTAGGGCGACCAGCCCGAGCAAAGGATGGCGAAGAGGAACGACCTCGAGCGAGCTGGCTACGAAAACTACCCTGACACCAACCGATCTGGCTTACAGCATGCAGACACTCATCACCAAGAATCCGGACAACACGCGCAGCCTCCTCAAGCTGTTCACGATGGAGAGGGACAACGAGATCAAGTACAGTAGTGTATTCCAAATTTGTCACGGAGCGATGTACAAGGTGGGCTTCGACGCCAACTTCGGGGATGGTTCCAGAGGCCTGCAATATCTACTTGATAGATTGCCACGGCCCCAGGTGAGACCCTATGCTGTCGTGGACTCGGGCGCCCCGAAGGGGCCACGGACAAGGACTCGAAGCGCAAGGGCTTCGATTACATCAAGGACCATGGTCCGAAAACTAACATGGACAAAAAGGCCCTGGAGTTCGCGGAGATGGCCTGCGACGACCCCAATACGCCAGTATACGGCTGGCCGAAGTCACGTGTTGAACGCTCGGGTCTCCGCCGCGAGAAGTCCAAGGCTGCTGCCGGCAAGTAATCGTTCAAGCACCGTACGCTCTGGGACGTCAGGGGGTGGTGTTTGATGCGCGTGCTGGCGCTGCCCTTGGGCCTCTGGCAGAGGAAGACGTCCATGTTGACCGGCGAGTCTAGCTTCGGGAAAGAGCCCGCTGGCAAAGATCTTGGCCATGTGGTTCTCCGAATGGCGCATCGAGAACGATGGCATGGACGAGGAGTCTGGCTTCCACCTGTGCACAATTATCCCAAGCACTTCCGCCACGAAATGGGCAGGCGGGAAGCATCGAAGTCTTCGACGATGGCGACTTCGAAAAAACAAGACCAGGCCAAACTCAAGGCCTTCCGTCAAAACGCCGAGCGAGATAACCGCACGGTCGAAAAATATACCACGATGTGCTTGGTATGATGAAGTGCTCGAATCACTGGGAATAAGATACACAGGCGCAGATATCATAACATGTTGCAGAACCGTTCATCAACTTCCAAGTATCACAGGTTGGAACTTCCAGACCAGTGCAAATTCTTCTATGGATCTTTACTGCAGACGATGTTGAGAATTACGTGCCCGACGAGATGCCTTAGCAGGTCCCAGCGTCAGAGAAATGGAACAGCGTGTCAGATTGCGGGGCTAAATTATGCTCAACCTTCTGAATTAAACAAGGAAGAGCTTCCGCGTATGGAACCAATCGGGAATGCAGTTTGGACGTGGAAAGTCGTCAACCTCACCTTCTCTTGAGTCTGGGAAAAAAGAATAAGGCTAACCTTATGTTTTCGCACCGTCAAAAGGGAAATCTTGGCCAAGCCAGTACGACGGCTGACAAAGAAGCAGATGGTTGAGTAGTTCAATACCGCGTCACACTTGATGGGTTGCTAGATGTTGTTATTTACACACCTCTGAAGTGGTGCCCTTGGACAAGGCATCGTGCATTCCACATCGAATATAAACAAATAAGCAATGTGCGGCAACCGCCGATAAAACTGAAAACGTATAAACAACAAAGAAGCAATAGTACGTGAGGTTTTCTCGTGTTTCATATTTCTTTGCACAGTCCAATGCGAACAATCAAATGGTTGAGAAAATTCGCACGAGTACGCAATATGTGACAACTGCTGATACAACTGCTGACATCGAATAATCCAGAAAACGATACTTGTTCATGTATTCATAAGTGTTGGTAGTGTGTATGATCACGTTTCTGTGACAGCAAGCAAGCCACCAATAACCACCGACGCACAGGAGGTGCACAAGTAAACCATATGAGGCAGCTGCTAATACAACGGCGTACATATATACATCGAACAAACAATGTTAGTTAGTGTGGTTTTCGGTGCTTGAAAATATGTGTGTTCATTTTCTTTGAAGACAAGAAAAACAACTAAGGAAACAACGATTCATACACTTCGCGCAGGCAAGCAATATGTGGCACACGCCCGTACACTGGAACACATATCAACATTCAAGAAACACTGTTATGTTATGTATTTATGCGTGGTTGGTAACTGCCCTGCCCATTTTTTTTTGTGAAAATAAGACACCGCACTACAACGGCCTCTTGCTATAAGTTACACTGAGTGGTGTGCCTGTGCGGTGAAAAAAACAAACATAAAACACTGGCAAACAAACTGTGTGTTGAAGGTTGCTATCAAAGTTGACCCTTTCACGTAAATGCAACGTCACTGTTCGATAATAAGCCGCCCACAGAAACAGGGGCGCACAGCGTTCCCCTCTTATATATATATATATATATATATATATATATAATTCGCTCACCACCTTCGAGCACAAGCGATTTCAGGTACCAAATCACGCTCGGGGCATCTCTCTCTCTCTCTCTCTCTCTCTCTCTATATATATACACATATGTGTAAACATATGCATACGGATGTATGTGTTGCATGTAGAGGGAGGGGACATAATATACAGGGAAATGTAAAAGAGGAGGGGAAGTATTGCCAAACGAAAGGCTCGCTCTTACCAAACCTCTGAAAGTCCACGGGCCGGGTCCTACAGCATACGAAAATCCGCCGACCTCCGATTGCCTGGGGGGACAATTGCGCGCTGCCCGTTTGGTGCCGCTTTCCCCGCCCCCCTCTTCTCGGAGGTCCAAGATCCCACTGGAGGGGAGGAGGGGGCCGCGCTGGGTTGCAGGAGTACATCACGTCACGTCGGATTGCTACCACCCCCCGCCTGTGGCCAGGCCAACTCGTGCGCCCCATGTCGACGCACATGTAGCAGTCAGCATCGACTCGAAATTTGAGTCACATCTGGCTGCAGTGGCACGGAGTCGACATCGAATCGGATCGGCTGCGCCAAGATGCACCGCAGCGCCGTGCAATCATCTATTTGTATCGGACCGTCGATCTATCGGATCGGATCGCGATGGACCCTGTCCCTTGGTTGTCCCGTGGTTTGTCCCGCGTCTTACGCGTGCGTTCCAAATTGTCCCCAGGTTGTCACGTGACAGTGCGGCAGCCACGTGCCATTGTGCCCTGGTTGTCCCGTGCGCTTGTTCACGATTCCCTCTGGCTCGATTCGGTTAGATAGACAGCAATTCCAAAACTCAATTAGCCTGGCGAAGGACCCAACCATATGCAATTGTGAATGCCGCAATTGTGCTGGGTGGTGGCGGACGCATGCGGGCGGTGCCACTGGGACCTTCGGTGGAGCTCCCTATGGGGCCACGAAACGCTGTACTGGGTGGGTGAGACGCGGTCAGCAAGGGCTGTGCTGCGTGGTGGCGGACGCATGCGAGCGGTGCCACTGGGACCTTCGGTGGAGCTCCCTATGGGGCCACGAAACGCTGTACTGGGTGGGTGAAACGCAGGCAGGGAGCAAGGGCTGCGCAGGGTGGTGGCGGACGCATGCGGGCGGTGCCGCTGGGACCTTTGGTGGAGCTCCCTATAGGGCTACGAAGCGCTGTTCTGGGTGGGTGAAGCGCAGGGAACAAGGGCTGTGCTGGGTGGTGGCGGACGCAAGCGGGCAGTGCCACTGGGACCTTTGGTGGAGCCCCCTATGGGGCCACGAAACGTGCGAGGGGTGTGCCAGAATGGGGTGTGGAACCGCATGCCAGCGCAGCCACTGGGGCCTTCGGTGGAGCTCCCTATGGAGCCACGAAACGTGTGAGGGGTGTGCCGAAATGGGGGGTGGAACCGCATGCGAGCGCAGCCACTGCGGCGTTCGGTGGAGCTCCCTATGGGGCCACGAGACGTGTGAAGGGCGTGCCGAAAAAGGGGGTGGAACCGCATGCGAGCGCAGCCACTGGGGCCTTCGGTGGAGCTCTCTATGGGGCCACGAACCGTGTGAGGGGTGTGCCGAAATGGGGGGGGGGAACCACATGCGAGCGCAGCCACTGGGGCGTTCGGTGGAGCTCCCCATGGAGCCACCCACGAAGCGTGTGAGGGGTGTGCCGAAATGGGGGGTGGAACCGCATGCGAGCGCAGCCACTGGAGCGTTCGGTGGAGCTCCCTATGGGGCCACGAAACGTGTGAGGGTGTGCAAGAATGAGGGGTGGAACCGCATGCGGGCGCAGCCACTGGGGCCTTCGGTGGAGCTCCCTATGGGGCCACGGAACGTGTGATGGGGTGTGCCAGAATGGGGGGTGGAACCGCATGCGGGCGCAGCCGTGGGGCCTTCGGTGGAGCTCCCTATGGGCCACGAAACGTGTGAGGGGTGTGCCAGAATGGGGGGTGGAACCGCATGCGGGCGCAGCCACTGGGGCCTTCGGTGGAGCTCCCTATGGGGCCACGAAACGTGTGAGGGGTGTGCCAGAATGGGGGGTGGAACCGCATGCGGGCGCAGCCACTGGGGCCTTCGGTGGAGCTCCCTATGGGGCCACGAAACGTGTGAGGGGTGTGCCAGAATGGGGGGTGGAACCGCATGCGGGCGCAGCCACTGGGGCCTTCGGTGGAGCTCCCTATGGGGCCACGAAACGTGTGAGGGGTGTGCCAGAATGGGGGTGGAACCGCATGCGGGCGCAGCCACTGGGGCCTTCGGTGGAGCTCCCTATGGGGCCACGAAACGTGTGAGGGGTGTGCCAGAATGGGGGGTGGAACCGCATGCGGGCGCAGCCACTGGGGCCTTCGGTGGAGCTCCCTATGGGGCCACGAAACGTGTGAGGGGTGTGCCAGAATGGAGGGTGGAACCGCATGCGGGCCCCCTATGGGGCCACGAAGCGTGTGAAGGGTGTGCCAGAATAGGGGGGTGGAACCGCATGCGGGCGCAGCCACTGGGGCCTTCGGTGGAGCTCCCGTGGAACCGCATGCGGGCGCAGCCACTGGGGCCTTCGGTGGAGCTCCCTATGGGGCCACGAAACGTGTGAGGGGTGTGCCAAAATGGGGGGTGGAACCGCATGCGGGCGCAGCCACTGGGGCCTTCGGTGGAGCTCCCTATGGGGCCACGAAACGTGTGAGGGGTGTGCCAAAATGGGGGGTGGAACCGCATGCGGGCGCAGCCACTGGGGCCTTCGGTGGAGCTCCCTATGGGGCCACGAAACGTGTGAGGGGTGTGCCAGAATGGGGGGTGGAACCGCATGCGGGCGCAGCCAATGGGGCCTGCGGTGGAGCTCCCTATGGGGCCACGAAACGTGTGAGGGGTGCGCCAGAATGGGTGTGGGAGGGGGCGGAGGGGGTGGAAGGGGGGGAGGAGGAAGGAGGAGGAAGGAACGCGGGGCGACGTCTCTTCAAAACGAGGACCCAACACCACAGGATGGTTGGGAAGAACCTTTTCAAATCGCACCCGATGTTTCTATAACTTTGTAGTGTTACTACCAAATTATACTATCATCCGATAGAGATTGATACAGTCATCGGCCTGACCTATGGAACGATAAATAAGGAACGAAACTTCTTCTTTTTTTTCCAAGTTGGTCTACGATGTCCAAAGGAACGACCGAGCCCCTCATCAGCAAAATGAACCCGCGCGTCCAACATCTGAAGGAACACCAGGGGGACTCGCCGCCAAAAAGGTAGCGGAACGCATGCAAACCCAAGGAACTACCGAGCCTTTTTTGAAAAGTGAGCGTTCCTTATTCAAGCCGTTCGCTGTATTCTTGTTGATCATGACTGGTCCTCGGTCGTTACTCCGTGGGAGGAGGGAGGCCTGGGAAACTGTGACGCCTGTGCAGGGTGGAGCACGTCGGGGGGAGGATGCGCTGCGATCGCCACAATATGTGCGTGAATGTTAGCATGTGGAGGGGTCCAAGCCTCTCCCACCTCCTGACAAAAGTAGAGCGACCAGGTGAAGCCCATCGGCAGGGCGGCGCACGCGGGCACCGGCCGGCGGTCGGGCGCCGCCGCGAGGCCCCCGATGGCGGCGCCCGCGAGGCCGGCCTCCTGCGCCGTCACGCACCGCATGAAGAAATAGCCGGAGAGACCTCGATCGATCCTGAAGCGGTGGAATGCGTCGCTGATGTCGGAGGTCCCCAGCGTGAAGCCGAGGTCCGCGCCGCCGTGGATGTCGTCGCCCTCCACCTCGACGCGGGCGAGGCCCTCGGCCGTCACCAACGACGCGCCAGGGGGAGAAGTGAAATGGAGGTTGCTCCGTCTGGCGTCTATAATGAGACGAAGATGGTTGGACTTCTTGGCCACGAAGAAGACTCCGACCTCCTCGCAACGCTCGGCCTCCTCCAAGAACACCAACATACCCCTGGAGTAGAGCAACTTGATCATGCGTACATAGGGCCTGCGGTTGCGAGCCAGCGATGGATCCCATAGGAGGTGATGCCACGTTCATCAAGTCGACGACGTAACCTCACCTCATCTAAAAGCATCAAACAAAAAAGCGTCTTCGAGAAATTGGCGCGCATGGGCAGGTGCGATGTCCAACAGCCGTGGCCCTCCCACCGCGGTCATAGGTAAGGATGTCTGCCCCGCGCTGGGAAGACGCCCGACGTTCCGTCCGGCCGACTCGTCTTAGACACTGCGGACGTGCATCAGCTCTGAGAAGGCTGCCCGCGGGGGTGGGATCGCGGTCTCCAGAGGCGGCAGGCTGTCGCCCGCGCACGCCAGGATCCGCGCGTGCACCCTCATCTGGTCAGAATTCGGCATAGCGCCTGTACTAGTTCGGTTCATCAACCAATTCAAGGCGTCGACAACCTCACGAAAGTCCTGGCGGGCCCGCCTAGCGAGCCGAGCGGCCCCGCGGCTCTGGAGCTGCGGCCAACTCCCCCCATGGTCATCCAGCCTCGGCAGGGGGAAAAGCGAGAGCAGGCCCACCCCGACCTCGCGCGTGGGCTGAGCACTGCCGGCGGGGCGCCCACCCCCGCCAGCGGGAGCGGTCATGCCGCCTCGGGCGCGGTGAGCTTGCCACCGCGCCCAGATGCCCCGTCCGCCGCCGCCTCGATCATCCCCACGACCCCGTACGCGGCCGCGCCCGCGCCCGTCGGCTGCGCGCGAGGGACCACTTGGGGGCCCCTCTCCCGCCTCCAACGCCAGAGGGCTCGGCGCCAGCACGCCGGCGGCGCGGCTCTTCCAGCCCTCCAACTCGGTCTTCTTCTCGTTCCGATGGAAGACGGCCGATCTCAACGCGGGGTCGATGACGACCAGCGGGCCCGTCGCGCTCACGTAGCGCCGCAGACCGCCCCGCTTCGGTGGCTTGGCGGGGTCGCACGGGCATGCCTCCACGATCTGCGACGCCCCATGACGCGCCGCCTCGATGCTCGCCATGCTGGCCAAGTTGATCTGGTCACAGGCCCCAACGTAGCTGATCGTTGAGAGCAAGCACTTCATCTCTGCGCAGGCACGGTCAGTCGAGCTGATGAGCCGATCCCGCACCCACACCTCCGGTCGCGACCGGGAGTTGCCACCGCTCTGCCTCCACCTCTTGATCATGTACTCCGCGGTGGAGAGGCCGCCCCATCCAGGACCAGTCGCGGAGGATGCACTTCTTCACCTCGCGAACGACCTCACGCCAGGGCTCGCGGCGCCCCCCGCGCTCATCATGCTGCGCCCACAGCGTCCTCGCGTCATCGGCGACCTCGGCGTCGGACGCCCCCTCGGACGCCGGGAACCCAAGCCTGTCTCCCAGGTCCCCGTCGGCCATCTCCGGGTCGGAAGCCCCGACGGCAGTAGGCACCACGGCGGACTCGGGGCCCCCCTCCAGTGCCGCGTGGCGGCCACCACTCAGGTCCTCCAACAGGTTCGCGACCATCTTGGGCCGCCGCCGACGGTGACCGTCGACCTCCTCCACGGGGATCGCCTCCGCGACGTGGCGTGGTGGGCGTCGAGCCGCGCGCTGTCTTCGGCAAGGGCCTCCTCGAGTCCCACGAGAGGCGCCCCAGGGGAGGCCACGACCCAAATGCGGCCCTTAGGCGGGTCCAGGGCCCGCAGGGCACCACTGGCCTCCGCAGCGGCCGCCTCCATCAGCGGCCCAGCATCGACCCCGGGCGGCGTCGCCGTCCTGTCAGCCCCCCCGCTCGCGACTCGCAGGGGGGGGCGGCGGCGGAGCCCTGAGACGGTCGTCGACTCTCCCAAGTGTAACACTGCTTGGGGCCCTCCACTGCGTCGTGCTCAGTCTGAGCGGCACGCGCTCGAAGGAGGAGGGGGCGAGGCTGTGCCGTGCGCACGGGCTCCGAGAACCTGTGGATCTCCGCCCCCGCCACCAGCCGCGCGAACTCCAGCGCGGACGCGCGCTCGGGCACCAAGGCCGGGCCGGCCACGGGCGGCTCCGCCGCGACAGTCGGGCCCTCGGCCCCCGTCGCCAGCGGGGGCTTGTCCAGTGGCGCCGCGGCCGTCGCCTCCACCGAGGGGAATATCGGCGGCGCCTGCAGGGGGCTGTTGGCAAGCAACGGCCCCAGCTCCGCGGCCACAGCCGCCGCGGCGCTCGCCGCACCAGGCCCAGTGGGCGGCGGCGGCGGGGGCGGCGGCGGAGGCGGCCACGCGGGGGCCTGGCAGGCGCAGGCAGGGCAGGTAGCGGAGGCTGCCGCCACCGCCGCCAGCCAACCGCCCGCCAGCCGCAACCCCGCCCAGGCCGCGGGCGCGCCCACCGCGACGCCCACTCCCCGGGTCGTGGTGGCGCCCGGGGCCATGGCCCGGCCCACGCTCATGCACTTGAGAACGGTCAAAAGGCCATGGAGCACCCCAGACAACACCGCGCAAGCACTCCAATGACGCAAGACGCCAGTTCACCCACCAAGTGCTGACACAGTGTAGCCAGGCCGCCGACAAAGCACTGACAAGAGGCGGCCCGGCCGCCGAAAAAACACTGACAAGAGGCGGCCAGACCGCCGACAAAGCACACCGCGTTGACAAGGAGCGGCGAGACCACCGACGAAGCACTGACAAAAGACGGCCAGACGACCGACAAAATACCGACAAGGCGCAGCCAGGCTGCCGACAAAGCACTGACAAGTGGCGGCCCAGCCGCCGACAAAGTACTGACAAGAGACGGCGGGGATGCCGACAAAGCACTGACAAGAGGCGGCCCAGCCGCCGACGAAGTACCGACAAGAGACGGCTGGGATGCCGACAAAGCACTGACAAGTGGCGGCCCAACCACCGACAAAGTCCTGACAAGAGACGGCCAGGATGCCGACAAAGCGCTGACAAGAGTCAGCCCCCGCCGCCGACAAGAGTGGCCTACATCCAGCTTAAACGGACTGCTCTAAAACCTGTTTCGCGTCCCCCCCAGGGCAAGGGTAGAGCCTGGCGCGCGCGGCACCAAGCTCGCACCGAAAAGCCCGCGGCGAAACGGAAGCAGCGGTGGCACTGCGACGGTGGCGGTGGCACGAAGCGCACCCCATGCTCTAGCAAGCCGCAGCACTTGACTGAAGTAGTGACCCACAAATGGCTTCAACTCGGGATGAAGTACCAATCACGCGGATCACATAGCATCGCCCCGCCAATACCGGCACGCCCCTCACACCGATCGTGCCGACAACCCCCCAGGAAATCCACGTACGGCACCACGGACACAATTCGCACGCGTCCTTCCGCCCATCTCGGCACACCCTTCACACGGATCGCACTCCAGAAGGATGTACTTCCACGTGCTGCCCTAGTGGGAAGGTTCGCATAGCGTCCCTCCACGTATTTCGACTCACACCTCACACGGACCGTGCCCCAAAACCGACGGCCCCAGAGACAGGGCTCGCATCCCGCCGCCCCGCCCATGTCGGGATATCCCTGACATGGATCTTTAGACAAGGGCGCCTTATGGGCGTCTTGGATGCCTCTCGTGGGCTCGCGGCGTGCTTCTCAGGGGCCTCTTGAAGCCTCTGCAACGCCTCTTGAGAACCTCTTGGGGCGTCTTGGGGGTCTCTTGGGAGCCTCTTGGCCTGTCTTAGGCGCTGTCAAGATCAAGAAAACGAATTTGCTATAAATGTGCGTTTCCCCACGGGAATGGGACAACAGTTGCCTCTTCGGGCCCTATTGGGGTCCTCTGAGAACCGTCTTGGGGCGCCTCGGGGGCCTCCTGGGCCGTCTTGACGCCATATGGGGCCGTCTGGAGGCCATCCAAGCCCGTCTGTGACCGACTTTGGAACCGACCTGGAAGCTCTGGGGGGGCCAGGGAGGCTCTGGGAACGCTCCAGGGGCCGGGGGGCACTTAGTGTTGCCTGGTTGCGCATGGCGTGCTGGGGCCTCGCGTGCTTAGGTTCTAGTAAGCACCAGCCCTTGGCAAGTTCACCGCTGCGTTCACGTACGCATGTTGTTCACAGCTGTTCGCAGGTCCTTGACAAAATGACAACTGTAGTGCTGTCTCCTATATGGTGCGAGCCGTTGAATGCGCTCTCGCCGCCCTCGTTGTCACTGCAATGGCCGCCGTCGCCGCCGTCGCCGTAGCCGTCGTCGTCGTCGTCGTCGTCGTCGTCGTCGTCGACGGCATCGACATTGAAATCCCCTCCTTCCTCCTTCTCCTCCAGGAACGCACCGAACTACTACGATTCGAGCGGAGTTGCAGGAGGAATGCATTGAACAGCGTGCATACATGTGTGAGTTTCTAGCTTCGTGTCGCTCCAATGCTCGTAGCGCACGTTTCGCGCGCGCTGAGATTCTAGCACGCCCCAGCCCGTGGCCAGCTCACAGCTGCACTGACCACATTTGCCTTGAACATTAGCTGGAGAAAAAACAAAGCGGCGGATCCAACAGCGACGAATCGACGACACGGGCACACCCAGCAAAGTTAAGCGAAATGATGCAAAAACGGGTGCTCTTTTGGGGCACATTTCGCAGACGCCGCGAAAACCTCTTGAGCTACCCAAGCTATTTCTTGGGCCGTGTTGGGACTCCCTTGGGCCGTCTTGAAGTCTCTTCTGAGCCACTGGGAAGCTCAAGGGAATTTCCTCGAGAGCATGGTGGGTCGTCTGGGTGTCGATTGTGCCCAGGCCCTCATGGGGCTCCCGTGGAAATTTTTAGATCATCTGGGAGAGCTCTTCGGGGCATCTTGAAAGCCTATCTGGTGTCTTTTGGTGGCCTCTTCCTGGACATTTGGGGTCCTCTCGAGTTCTCCTGGGGGCTTCCTTGGCTGTCTCAGAGCGTTCGTGGCCCGACAGACGCCTTCGGAGGCCCGTTTGGATGTCTCCGTGGGCAATATGGGGGCTTTCTGGGGGCGTCTTCGGGCTGTCGTCGGAGCTTCTTGGGCTCGTCTTGGGGGCGTCTTGGGCCCTCGTGGGGTGATTCTGCGCCGTCTTTGGGCCCTTTTGGGGGCTTCCTGGGTCCCCTGAAAAGCAACATTGGGGGCCACGTTAGCCGTCTTTGACGCTGTTAAGAACAACTGGGCAAAAGTGTTAGAACTGTACGAAACCTGTTGTTTTTCAACAGTTTAGGTCTCTCGGAGGCTTCCTTGAAGGCCTCTCGGAGCTCTCGGCGGGCGGTTTTCGTCCGCCTTGGGGGACTCTTGGGCCCTTTTGCGACCATCTTGAACCGTCTTGGAACCGTCTTAGCAGCCTCTGAGCATCCTGTGGGATCGCCGAGGAAGGCTTTGGAGGTCCAGAGAAACTCCTGGACCACTCAAAAAGGGCCGCCGGCTCCCGGGACTAAAATTTGACACCGATGAAGGAGGGTTGGATAAGTGGGCCACCCCCTGGCCCAGGGATCCGGTCGCCAGCTAGAGCCACGCGCGCGCTACGCGCGCGCTTAGGTTCTAGTCGGCTCCAGAGATGCTCTCTAGATCGACAGGGAATGCTGGGCGCTGTGAGGAGCGGCGAAGAGGGTGATAACGCGCCGCCTCCTTCTCCTCCTCCTTCTGTTTCTCCTCGTCCTCCGCCTCCTCGTCCTGCGTCTCCTCGCACTTGCCCGGAACCGAGAAACCCCCGACCCAAGAACACTGGGAACCTCCTGCTTTCATCCTCCTTCCCGCTCTCCTCGTCACTCTCCTCCTCTCGATTCGAGCGATGTTCCCTGAGAGACTTGACCCATATTTTCCTGAAGAAGTTTGCGACGGGCCGCTTGAGCTGTTTAGAAACAGAGTGCACGCGCTGGATGACGGAGAGAGAGCAGCCTTCAAACATCGTGCACGCGCTGTCACGCCAGCTGGCGGAGCGTGTGCAGCAGGCATCAGGATACGGAGAACTGGAGATGGAGGGGTCGGGATCGAAGAGCAGGTTGCCCTCTGGAAGGTTCAAGGTCCCTGGGAACTCTTGGTCCGTCTCTGTGCGCCTTGCAGCTCTGTGCGTGCCTTCTTGGGCTGCATGTTGCGTCTCTTGGGCCGTCTTGGGGCTCCGTTGGTCCCTTGCGCTGGCTCTCTTGGGCAGTCTTGGGATCCTCGAGGAGCGTTCTGGGGTCGTCTTCCGGCTTTCTTTGGACGCTGTAGGCCGCCGTGAGGTTCTCTAAAGCGCTCCCAAAGCTTTTTGAATGAGAAGCCTACGAATTCCAAACGAAATTAGTACACCCAATGGTTTTGATAGGTTGAAAGCGTCCGGGGCACCCTTCAATTGGGCCTCTGGGAGCCTCTCTTGAAGCATCTCGTGATCTCTCGGGGACATCCTGGAATTATCTTGGAGCGTCCAGGGCCATCCTGGGCAATTTGGGCGGCCTCTGGGTGTCCTTCTGAGCCATATTGCACGTCTCTTGAGGCCGAAATAAGCCCCAAAAGCTACAAAGGACTCCTGGACCTCTGGTGATAGTAGGTTGCTGTGGGTGTGTGGATTTAGAAAACGGGCCACCCCTGGGCCTCGGGACCCAGTCGCTGGTTATGCTAATGATCTGTTTTCATCTGCTTTAATCAATGCGGACTTCTTCTATATCCGCCACCGTGCCCCCTGGCCCGCTGAGGCGTGCTGAAATGCCAAGTGCTGTGCGGCAGGGTTTCTGTAGTCTTCGAGGGGCCCCCCCCTCTCGAAGCATCGCCTCCCATGCATCGCCTCCTCTTCCGAGGCTCCCTGGAAGACCATGACGTCTCCCTGGGCCCAAGGCTTCCAAGACGGCCCAGGAAGGCCACCAAGGCTGGCCGGCAAGATGGCCCAAGAAGCGTCCAAGACGTACGATAGTGGCTCCAAAGCTGTCCAAGATGGCTCCAAAGCGGCCCCAGATGGCTCCAAGAGCACCGCCAAGAATAGGACCCTGAGAAACCAAAATCCCGCAATCCTTTCGGAAACACATTGTTTTGCATGTCCTCATTTTGAGTCTTCGAAGCGTCCAAGACGGCCCAAGAAGCACCCAAGATCGGCTCAAGGTGGCCCAAGACGGCCCCAAGAGTGCCACAAGACAGCCCAAACGGGCCCTGGAACGGCCCAAGAAAGGTCCAAGACGGCCCAAGAGGCCCCCGAGAGGCCGCCAGGCCCCAAAGAGGCTTCAAAACTGCCTCCACGAGGCTCACCAGAGGCTTCTCAAGAGATCCCAACAGGCAGCACCATCACCACCATCATCACCAGCACCATTGACATCATCGTCATCCTTCTCATCATCGAGGCTTCCTGGAAGGCCTCTCGGAATCCTCTTCGGGTCGTCTTCGGCCGCCCTGGGCGCCTCTTGGGCCCTGGGCCCTTTTGCGACCATCTTGGGCCGTCTTGGAATTATATTAGCGGACTTTAAACGTTCTGTGGGATCGCCGAGGAAGATTTTAAAGGTCCAAAGAACCACCCGGGCCACT